CTTCTACACCTTGTGGTCACACAGGCTGGTGTGCTTCTTCCATGTGGGCTTTGTTGCTTCTGAGCTAGATGGCTGCTTGTTTACCTGCAAGCCTTTAAGACCCCAGATGCTATATCTTTAGAAAGCTGGCGCCATCAGCTTTCTTCACCACATTTGCTTATGCTCACAGTTGTCTTCAGCGATCCTGTTGGGAAGGAGCGGGATGACAAGTCCACTGTTCAAGTCAAGTTTATCATTGCGATCTTCTATAGTCATCTCTCCAATGCACTCTGTTTGGTCACTGGTTTCTCCCTGTCTCTCCGTTAGGGATGGAAGGACATCACAGGAGGCTTACTTCCTGTGTAGATCTCACAGTTGTATCTTGGGCATCCACTGTCATACATAGCTTTCTGCAAACCAGAATCTCCTAATTTAGGCTCTGGTACTATTCACTCCTTCAGCTTTGCATTAATTATATGGTTTACAACCCTTCAGTCACTGATGTTGGGGTGCTTCTTCCGTGTGGACTTAGTTGACATTTCACGTAGATGGCTTTTTTTTGGAAAACAAACCTTTGCCAACCCAGATGCTGTTTTTATCTAAGAACCAGGCACTACCTAATTTCCTCTTGCTATAGCACCCCTATCTTCTGTTTTCTCTTCTTCGGGCATTTTTATATGCAAAAGGTTACAGCTCAAGTTCTGGGTCCTCAGTTTATTTTCTCCCTTCTCATCCTCATCTTTTTGGTGTCATTTTTGTGCATGTTTACTATCTCTATTATAATAGACCTATGTGGTTTTTAATAATGCATTTTATTTTTGTTGTTGGTAATACACACATCAGAACGAACACCAACCGTTTCTGTTGTATAAGTCAGTAGCAATGTTCCAACCATTCTCACTCTCCTTTGCAAGTATTCTTCCACTAACATAAACTCACTGTTTCCTATGTTTCTAATGAACCTGTGACGTTGCTGTGGTCAACTTGATCCCATATAGATCGATCTTAAGAGTGCACAGTGCTCAAGGCAGATATTCTGTACTAGTTGTGCCAAACTGTTGTTTGACTTTGAGAACATTTTTTGAAGCTTCCTTGTATTAGAAATGTTTTTTGTATAGTTGAGCCAGATTTTGATAGCAGGAAGAGATTGTTTTAGCTCACTCTGCTGTATTATTGGTAAAGAAAAATATTGTATGACTTTGAAAGTATATGCATTTATATGTTTGTAATCTCACAATGTTTTCTGGAAATATATATATGAATATGGTCAATTTTTAGAATTATATAATGATAACTTTTGGTTTGGGGTTGGTTTTTATTCAGATTTTATATTCTAATGGAAAAAATCCTCTCCTTATATAAATGCTATTTGCATTGTTTGCCTTCTTACATGTGCTTGTGGTGATTAGGTTGTCTTCACGCTCATGTGTTGTGCTTTCAGCCCTGCACCTTTTTTGCTCCCTGATGGACTGGTTCGCTTGGTTAATAAACAGATAAACTGGCATTTGGTACTTGCAAGGTGAGCATGTATAACATTCATATAAGATTCCTCTGCCTGGGTTGGCTCTCAAATTTCTATGTGGACATTGATTTGGGGTCCTTAGAGCATGCCCTCTTGATTTTTATGGTATAGACCTGTAAAGACTAGGCAAATCATATGCAGAGCTCCTTGCTCTGGCCCCCCCACTAGAGCCAGGGCACATTTCTGCAGACTGTCAAGGCTCCTCAGTGCTCTCCACATACTTGAGGGGCCCCTTGACACTCTCACTTCTGACTTGCTGACTTGAATTTGTTTTTTCCTACAACCTCAGCATCCCAGCCACCAGCTTGGAGGTTCCCACACCTCCCATTATTTCTGACCTGTTGATCTCACTCTCCGTTAGCTCGTCACTCACTAACATCCCTCACAGAAGGCCAGGTGGTAGTGTGCAGTGCTGTTCAGGACAGATGGACGACAGCAACCAGGATATACATGCACAACTAGAGTGAGATCTGGAATGGTCCCCGATGTGAAGCTTCTCTGCCTCCGAAGAGAGCAAGTTCCTCTCCCAGGGTCTGGTGTTCATCACCCACCAGGATGTCCATGCCGCTTCTGTGTCCAGAGTCTTCACATAGCCAAGCTGTATTACCTCAGACCCTTTCTCTCTGAGATAGACTCATCACATATTTTGAGGCTCTGTGGTCTTGGCAGCCCCCACAGGAGTTCACTCACTGGTATAACTTCTCAGGTCGAGGAAGGAGCCCAAATGGCACCATGGCTAGGCACCCTGTTGCTGACAGAAAGGCTGGCTGTTAGAGCCCCACAGCTGTTCCCGGGGAGAAAAGAACCAGAGCTCTCCATGAAGGGGGCAGCCCTGGATCCCTGTGGAACAGTTGGACTCGGTTCTGTTAGGTCTCTAGCATCAGACTCATGCCAACGTCAGGTTTGGAGTCCTCTTTGATAACAAAGACTGGGACGTGCCAAGATTTTAGAGGCTTCCTGTCATGGACAAAGGCCATATTCTTTGGATAAATGCAATTGTAAACCCTATAGTAGTACCCTTTGTCAAGTATAATTATTATTGTCAAAACATGCAATTTCAGCTATGCTGAATCATTTTTCTTGGCTCATCCGATTATAAGATCACAAGCTAGAGAATTAAACCATGTGAAAAAATGTAAAGATAATTTAAATTGTAAAATTGATTTCATTTGTACTGATGTGTGTTATAAACAACCTTAATATGAAATTTCTCCCCTCTTTTTTCTCTATGAAAGCAATGGGAAACTTCTGGCTGCTGTTCAAGATCAGTGTGTGGAAATCAGGTAATTGTTAGTATGACTTATACTCTGGATTTCATTCGAGAAAAAAATTACCTGGTAATGGTATTAGAGATTGAATTATGTTCCCCTTCTACTCTCCAAATATGTGTGGTAAGTCCTCACCTCTGTGCCTATAGTTCTCATTCTGTGTGGGACTGGGTTGACCTTGTGACGTTGATGAGTGAGGTCTCAGTCTCTTCTGAGATGTAAAAGTGAGCAAGCAGAAGAGAGATGGCGCAAGGTAGAAGCCAAGGAGCTGGAGATCTCTGAGGAGCCAGGAAACAAAGAGGAAGAAACCAGGACCTTCCTCCAGAGCCAACAGAGAAAAAGAGAGCCGCCTTCTAGGCCGGGTACCCTGGGTTAGAATGTATAGCCTCCTAAACTGTGAGAGAATAAAGTTCTGCATGATCCAGCCGTTCACTCGTAGTATTTCTGATACAGCCGCACTAGATTACTAAAACAAATGGGAACTAAGATTTTTAGGGGGGATATTTCAAAAATTCTTTCTAGAAATTCACTCTTGTCAAGTGTCACATCAGTCAAAGGGGGAAGGAGCGTTTGGTTTTGTAGAAGAGATCATGTTTTAGTTCCCGAGTTCACTGTGCTGTCTCCTGAGAGATGTGCTTTCTAAGTAGATGGGAAATGATTCTGTTAGACTAGTTACTACATCCCTGTCAGTCCGATGTTCAGGAAGATATGGATCTGGGTTTTCAGAAGACCTGGGTTATGTCTTGTGTATGAACAGGGATGGTCATTGTCCTGTCAGAGAATTTCTTTGGTGTTACATATGCCTTTCAGAGGTACCGTGTGTGTGTGTGTGTGTGTGTGTGTGTGTGTGTATAATTTTTTTTTCAACAACTCATTTCTTGTAAAAGCAAACAACAATAACAATAGCAACTAACTCTGGACGTTAGCAACAGCAGACTAAAATATAAGCTGAAAGCCCAAACACGAGAAAACCAGCTGCTGTTGAGTCATGGTGACCCCTTAAGTGTCGGAGTCCAACCCTGCTCCCTGGGCTTCCATGGCTGATGTGTGTGTGTGTGCGCGTGTGCGCATGTAGAGTCCAACCCTGCTCCCTGGGCTTCCATGGCTGGTGCGTGCGCGCGTGTGCGTGTGCGTGCGCGCGTGTGCGTGTGCGTGTGTGC